AAGAGGCCTCAGAGCTTCAACCCTATGAATTAATAGTGTTCTTGAAGATTTCTAGTACCTCACGTTTTAGGGAGAGACAAATAATAACAACCAATGCAATCAATATTCAGCATTAAACTAAATACTTAGTTGATATTTTGGTATCTACAATGTTAATTGGCACTATAAACAGAAACAGTATGATGGGAAATTGCTAACACTAAAAATATTATGTTTAAAAAAGGGTTTGCTATTTCCAAAAGGTGAGGAGGGAGAATGCAGAGGAGATGTAGGGTGTAATAAATGAAAGTAGTAGTAGAGTTCTACTAAAGGAAGAGTGAAATAGAGAACAATAGAATTTGGCTGTTTATGAAAGAAAAGAGAGGAAGGGAATCAAGGAAAATAGGAGAAAAACAATATAAGACAACAATAACAAAAAATATATAAAAACCAAAACCAATGTATACTAATGAAAAACCCTAGTTCTCAAAATATAGAGTCAAGAAAATAACTGCCTTCAAGAAATGCTAGAAATAAGAGTGAAAGACATGTGTGTATAAACAAATGTCCATGAACCATTCAGCACACAAAAGATTTTTTTTAAAAAAAGGTCTTGATGGAAGATTAAGAATTATTTCCATTGCAATTGTCAAAAATTGTCTATAATATTATGTTGGTTGTCAGTTCCCAATTGTCTTTCTTTCCATTTTTTTTCTCGAGGTACACAAGAGTAGTAGTTGGGAGCTGTCCATTCCCTCTTTTTGTAGAGCCCATCATTGTTGCCTATACTTAGGTTCCCTTCTCAGCAGTATGAGGTGGGGCAGGTTGGAATGTGTTGTCTATTACAATCACATTGAGGGGGTCACTGTACAATTCTGTGACAGGAGTTCCCAGAGGCTCAGCTCCTATATTCGGGGTTGGGTCCCAGGTGCTTTGTGGTTATGATGGTTGGTGAAGCTTTTAATAAGCACACCTCCACAGCCTGGCTGCTTTTGATCTGCTTCTAGGGCATCTGTATCTCTTGAATCTCCCTTGGGTTTCACTTGAGTGGTGGAGGACCCCAGTCCTTTGCCCACTCTGCCTCCCACAGCTCCCATATGGTGGCCTCTTGGGCTGAGTCCCAAAGTGCACATTCACCAATTCCACCTGCCATCAAGTCCTTGGTTGTCCACAACTGGTCTGATGACCTTGAGACTCCAAGAGTGAGAGACACCCAGGGTCTCTCAGGTCTAAATGTCTCAAATTCCCCTGGGTGCAACAGTTTTTAATGCCTAAATTTCACCTGGTTTTCTAATTAACACACTAGGGTAAGTGACAGGGCTCTGCCAGGTCAGTTTTTCAGACCCAGTGCAAATTACACAGGTCTGGGCACACCTGGGTTTAGACCCACAGCCACCAGATATCCTAAGTAGCTCAGCAGAAAAAGATGGCAGGTGACCCTGCTCTCCACAGGTCACATGAAAACAAGGTGCAGCTCACCCACTGGATCAGCTCAGCAATGTCCCCAATCACTGTACTCAACCTCTCTGCTTCAAGACACACCTTGGTGCCACCCAAAATGCAAGCTCTCCTATAATCTTTCTCTCTGACCTGCCCATGGTGGATCCACATTAGCAGCTGCCAGTGCTGGCAGTATTTGTTTGTTTTTTTTTTCTTTTTTCTTTCTTTTTTTTTAATGCTATCCAAACTTCTGAGCCCTTAGGCCATTCTGAGAGTCCAGTATTAAATCCCAGTAGGATTCCTTTCTTTTCTTTTCTTTTTTTTTTTACTGACCTCAAAAAGAAGATTCTTCTTTCCTGGTCCCATGCCATGGAGCAGTTTGGAAAGTAACCTTCTCTACTCCACCATCTTGACCCCTTCCTGGAACTCTTTTTTAATTTCCCCTGAGACCTCATGTGTTATTTAGAAGTGTATTATTTAATCTTCATGTGTTTGGGGGGTCTCCACCAACCTTTCTGTTATGGGATTTCTAGTTTAGTTCTGTTGTGTTCTGAGAGCATACTTCACATGATTTCTATGTTAAATTTGTTAGGTCTGTTTTATGGCCGAACATATGGTCTGTCTTAGTGAATGTTCCATGTGATTTCAAGAATATGTATTCTGTTATTGTTGGATAAAGTAGTATATAGATGTCAATTTTATTCAGCTGATTGATAATGTTCTTCAATTTAATTATACCCTTGCTGATTTCTACATGCTGGATCTGTCAGTTACTGATAAAGTGGTGTTGAAGTCTTCAAGTATAATAGGCAGGGTTTTTCTATTTCTCCCTGCAGTTCTATCATTTTTTAAAAAAATTTTAGTTGTTGATGGACCTTCATTTTATTCATTTATTTATATATGTTGCTGAGATTCAAACCCAGTTCTTCTAGGCAAGTGCTGTACCACTGAGCCACACACAACCCCAGCCCAGTTCTATCCATTTTTGCCTTATGTATTTTGATACTTCTTTGCTGGGCATATATATGGTGAGGATTGATATATCTTCTTGGAGACTTGACCATTTTATCATTATGTAATATTCTCTTTATCCATGATGGTTTCCCTTATTCTGAAGTCTGTTTTGTCTGAAAGTGATATAGATATTTCAGAAGCTCTCTTTTGACTAATGTCAGTATGGCAAATCATTTTCCATTTCTTACTTTCATTCTGTGTTTTGATAATTAAAGTAGGTTTTGTGCAGATAACATATTGCTGGGTGTTCTTTTTATCCCTTGACTTTAATTGGGATATTTAAACCATTCACATTTAAAATGATTATGAATATGATTGGATTAGTGTATATGATCATGTCTATTTTCCTTTCATTGCATTTGTTCTTAGTTTTGGTTTGTCTTCCACTCTTTCAAGCTCCTCTGATTTTAAATAACCACTCTATATGCTTCATTTATTCTTTACTGTTAACATATCAATTACCCTTTTTAATTTTTTTTTAGTTGTAGATGGACACTATACCTTTATTTTTATGTGTGCTGAGGATCAAACCCAGTGCCTTCCACATGCAAAGCAAGCACTCTACCACTGAACTACAATCCCAGCCCATCAGTTACCTTTTTTAAAAAGTGTTTTTTTATGTAGTTACATTAGAATTTGAAGTATAAGTTTCCAACAAATCCAAGTCCACTTTCAAATACCACTATCTCACTTTTGGATAGTACAGTATTCTGAAAGATTATTCCCAGCTTCTCCCTTCAAACCCTTATATGTAAATTTGCTGTCACTCATTTATCTTATCTACAAGCTATAATCACTGAAACATTGTTATGATTCTTTTAAACAAAGACTGCTATTAGAGCAGGGTGTAGTGGCTCATGCCTGTAATCTTATAAGCTAGGGAGGCTGAGACAGGAGGATCGCGAGTTCAAAGCCAGCCTCAGCAAAAGTGAGGCACATAGCAACTCAGTGAGACCCTGTCTCTAAATAAAATACAAAAAAAAATAGTTTTGAGGATGTGACTCAGTGGTAACCCCCTCCCCCCAAAAAAAGACTATTCTTAGGCCAAATAAAAAAATAAGATTTTTTAAATTTCTTCCTTAGCACTCTATTTCTTTATTAATTTCTTTATGTACAGTTGAATTTCTAACCTATATGATTTTCCTTTTCTCTGAAAACTTCTTTCAATATTTCTTGCAAGGCAGGTCCATCTTTTTGAAAATAAAATACAATATTATCATATATTTTAATTTAAAAAATGACTATTTACATTTCCAGGTTTCAGTTTCATCAAGTTGCCAACATAAAAAAATCACTGTCATGCTACACAGGGATGGCTAAACTTCATATACTCAATATTAAGAATGTTGTGAATTATTTACTATTGCAGAATGTTCCTCAGATGTCATGTGTATGTATTGCAAATATTATGTTGGTTTCTGATTACCTCCATAATTACAATTTGGAACAGAAAGAAAGAAAGAATATGAATACTAAGCACAATAGGAATGATACTTCTTAAATGAAATTTCATTGCATTCTTTATATCCAAGAGGGAGGGATTTTACTCAACTTAATAATTTGTCTTTTATCTAAGCATTTCTGTTGCTCATTTTGACTGCCATTGTCTACCTCAGCATATCATGCTTCATGTCACATGGGCATGACAGTCAGAACAATAGGTGTAGAACTTTTCCTTGAGGGCTGAAAAGTATAAATTATAAAAGCAGATATTTAGAGTCAGGGCCTCTATTATTCCAGAGTGGAGAGCCAGATTTCCAATGATGGAGGTACCCATATGCCTGCATGTTCATTAGTAAACTTACTTTGTGTGTGTGTTTATAAATTATGGATCCTTTAAAGAGCTGAGCCCAAAGTACAGGTTCTTCTCTTTTAGACTTTCCTAAAGGGGAAAATTTTTTTAATTAAAATTTGCTCCATTAATGAATGGCCCCCTTTCCTCTGTATAATCTACTCATTTATTTATAGTATTCACTGTTGACTTAGTAACTACTTCTTTAATGACTTTACCTGTTTACCATGCATGAGAAGCATCCATTTCTATCCTCGTTCCAATGCTGCTTCTTTGGTTATGAAACAAAAATGATTTTTCCCTAGTTCCTTCTGAACTCCTTTGGCATTCACTTGAATCAATACTGTACTATGCAATACTCTGTCCTTTATTATAGTTATTTGGATGTGTCACTATTCCCTTTTTATTCATTCAGTCAACAGACATTTTACACAAACCAAAGGGCTGACCCCTATAAAGCCAAGGTAAAAAATTATATTGTGAGCTACTTGAAGACAGTGGCTATGTCTGATGTTTGCATTGCTCAGAGCTATTCTGTGTGCCATTGTCCATGACTTTTATAAAATATGTGCTTAAGAAAGCATCAATATATACAACTTTCAGTCAATAAAACTTTCAACAAATACCTGCTAATTTTGTTTTGAGCTATAATGGGATATTTGAAGAGCAGTTAAATGACATCTATCTGGCAAGTTAATGTAATCTAAATAGTAATGATTATACAGACAATACAAAATCAGATCTCTGTGATAATCTTTGATCTTTTTCCACCTAGGATTTCCAAACTGTATTACCATCATTTTATCTCTTCTCAAAGTATGGAAAATTATATTCAAGAGCTGGACAAATTGTATAAAGGTATATTTTTTTTCTAAGAAACTCTTCACAAAAAGTACACTAAACAAATTTAAAAATCAAATGACATTGACTTAACCGTTGAGCATTTTTTAAGTAGTGCTATAATAACATTCAAATATTATAAGACTCCATAAATTCCTTTTATTATAATCTAATGGTTTTCAACATTTAAAAATAATGGATTCTGTTTGTCAAATTTCTTCTCCAATATAGACCAAAAATACATTAATAGAACTAACAAAAATATGAAGCACTCTTTATCCTTAAATTACATAATATATTAAATAGTTTTACACAATACAATGAAAAAATACCATGGTCATCAAAAGTTACAATACTTCTCAGTATTGTATGAACACAGTATCATTTAATATACCATACTCAATGTGTGCATTATTTGAAGTACAAGTCATCTTAGGGGACAGCACAGAAATGGAGTCTAGGGTCTTCAATTATCAAAGTTTACAGAATTGACAAGATCAAAGATACCCACTGAAAATTCAAGAACAAAATGAGCTCTCACTGATTGCCATATTTAATTTCTAAGGTATTTTAGAATAAAGAAATGATCACAATTAAGTGAGACTAATTTGGTACATTTTAATAAAATTTAAAGGTGGTATTAGATGAAGACACCAAGATCACTACAGTTAAAGGTAAGGGGCAGGAATGAGAAATCATGCTGTTTATCATTCCTCAGTCTTCTCCCAAACCAAAAACCAAGGGGAAAGGACTGGCCTATTGGAAGAGGCCAGAGTAGATTTATGGAATGTAAATTCCTTCAATTTAGTATTAATAAGTCTCCTCTACTTCACATATAACTCTGAAGGTTTCAACTTGGAGATTAATTTATTTAATTGCATACCAATATCTGCCTCTTAACTACTCCAAAAGAATACATGAGGGAAAATATAAAATATTCTGAGCTAATAGAAAAATGTGTATACCAAGTGAAATTGTTGTTTTGAACATTGGTCAATTATCTTTCCCCATTTGAGCATCTGTCTTGTATTTTTATTTTAAATAGACACAATATCTTTATTTATTTTATTTATTTTTATATGGTGCCGAGGTTCAAACCCAGTGCCTCACATACACGAGGCAAGTGCTCTACCACTGAGCTATAACCCCAGCCCCTTGTCTTGTATTTTTGAGCCACAGTATGATGTAGACTAAAGAAAATGTTTCATAGCTGTGTGCGACTTTACATTTTTAATCAAATATATAGCAATTAATGGTGAGAGACTGAAAACAACCTCACCACTCATTAATATATGCTAAGTTAAATGAAGAACACACACAATGCAATTCTATGTAGATGTTAAAAATGTTAGCATAGATATTTACCTATTCATTTGAAAAAAATTCCTATCATGTATTTCTAAGAAGACTATATAAGAAGCCCCTGTAGTTTAATTTCATTTTTAAAAGTATGTGTATGCATGTGAATATACATGTATATGTCTGTGTGCATCAAAATGCACTTCCATATACATATCTCTATGTATATATCTATGTGTTTTGAAAATATAATGACAGTAATCTCTGAATGATGAGATTATGGAAACTTTTTTGAGTATATTTCTAACTATTTCCATTTTTGGAGGTTTTTATGTAATCAGACAAAAGCAAAGTATTAAGATTTTCCAATAGGGATTATTTGTTCTACTCTATCAATTAAAAAGCATCTTGACTTTATTCTATTTAATCATAATAATTTAGAAATAATTATCTTTTTTTCTGAAGACAAAGTAATTACTTGCTAAATTATTTATCCAAAAGATAAGGATGAGTAACAAGTGTTGTACATTATTTTTAATTAAAAAGAGCATGCAATGTAAAGATACAAATATGTGACAGAATTCTTAAAAATGTTTTCAAACTCCTCTCTTAGATTTTAAAGTCTTTGTGAATTGACGATATTATCAAAATGTCATCTCTTCCTTTTAGATAGGAAATGAATGCCTGGTGTTTAATTTTAGTAAGTGAAGGGCAACAGCCTTAGCTGAGGCTCTCCTATTAAGATTTAATTTCACCAAGTACAACAGAGTGCTTCTGTTTTTTTATAAAGAAGGCCAAGATGAGGACACTTGCACCAAACTGTTGAATAAAGATGCTATAGTAATTTTTAGAGCTATCTATTTGATTGCTTGAGCTTCAAGGTAGTTCATCACTTCGCTATAATTCACCTGATATCACTGCCTCCTACACCCAATACTGCATTTTCCCATCAGTCCGATTAGAAATAGTGATGCCTTTATCAGATTGATCTGTCTTTCCTTAGTATGTCTAAGTTTAGAATAAACAATTCCCCCACCTACCTGTTATCACTTAATACACTGAGGTTTTAGCCACTGAAAGTGCTCAGGGAGAATTTAACTTAAAACACATGCATGTTCTTAAAAGCTGCTCTTTGACTAGGATAATATGATTCCTTTTATTTCATTAGTTTATCCTAGGATTGGTCACTATTTGCAATCTTTTATAGTTTCCCCAGAGCAGTTTTGTCTAAATCAGAATATGCTGTGTCCTGTCAGTACTTTGCCATCCTTTTTTAGCTCCGTTCATCTCCTTCAGATAGAAGGATTCTTCAGGCCAATTAGAGTGGAGAAAAATGCTGAGGATAAGATGAGATCATTGGTTGTGATTTTATGAATTGGATAAGTTATCCAATTCAGTCTGGCATCAATGTGAGGTTTCTTGCATTATGTGCTTCTCAATTTTCTCAAAATCGTCTTTGTAATAGGCTTAGGTCCGGGCTGTCTTCCTGCTAAAAAACGGTTCAGTGTTAAAGCCAGATAGTTTTAATAAAATTATTTGTTAGGCATGAAAACCAATGTATTCTCCTCTTCCATAGGAATCTGGCATATGAATGATTCAAGTAGCTGAGAAAAAAAGTGAAAATGAAGAATAAGTATGGTTAACACTGAATTAAGAAAGGGGTAAAAATGCCATTGCCTTTTTTGCAGAGGTAGTAAGGTCTTAGCAGCTGTGTAAGGAAAAATAAGTTATGTGAAGGGTGTAATAATCAAGAATGTGAAATATATATATATATATATATATATATATATATATATATATATATGCCTGTGGCAAGTTAAAATTTTAATCCAGTAGGAAAAAAAGTATTAAACCTTGTCATTCTTGCTTGGCTTTGTGTGAATTTATAACCCTTTTAAGTTTATAGTAAGTCATAGTAAATTGGCAAAATAAATAAATAAATGAATGAATGAGGATAACTTCAGTATCTTCTCTTGGTTAAGTTGGTCTTTCACTAAAGATGCTCATGAGGACGTGTTTTGCTGTGTTTTTCTATAGCAGATTCAGATTTACTAAATGTTTATTATCTAGTAAAACACATGACCAAAATTGCTAATCCAGATTGGCAGACTGACTTCAGAAAACAGTTTAAATCCAACAGAACTTAAATAAATGAAATCAGGGTCCATGGCCACCCAAATATTAACTGAACTAAAGCTAAGATTGGAGGATTTAAATAGAGAATTTGAGAACTCATGCTAATGAGATTCTTTTTCTTCTTTCATTTTACTCTTATTTTTAGAAAATAAAAGAAGACAAAATGTAAAAATGCGGTTAAGATGTGAACTAAGTGTAAAATAGAAGACCTCACTTCCTGGAGTCCTGGATTCTTCTTTCATGGCTGAGTAACCTTGACCTGGATCTCTTAACCCCTGAAATCTTCTCTTTCTCTTATCTGTCTATAGTTCATAGAAACAAAAACAAGAAAAAAACCTTTCCAGTTTAAAAGGAAATTACCAATGAGGATCCTATAGGAAATTCACTTAAATCCCACTACGATTCAATAAACTATGATATTTTGTAAGCTTAGTCATGAAATTGTTATAATGTGTTGTGCATGGTGTGTGTGTGTATGTGTGTGTGTGTGTGTGTGTGTGTGGAGTGTTTGTGTTAAATCTCCTAGCTTTATCTTTTCAATAAATGCTTATTTGAGTCTTTTACCTTTGAGAATGTCTGTTAACAACTCCAGTCCATGGTGACCAAAAGTGCCATAAATAGTTCCAGTGAAGTGGCCGTATTCTAACCCTTCACCTTGGTCACAAATGATGAAGCCAGGGTCAGGTACCCAAATTAAGGGCAGCTAATGTGCAAGTGGGAATGGTTGGTGATTTAAAATATGCATGGCAAAAATAGTTTGGCATAAAAGCTCTTCCTTGAGGGAAATAATGTCTCATTAGACCAATTAGAACCCCCTTAGGTCATTGAACTGCAGGCACACAAATACAACAGACATAGATTAGTGGGTGTGGGAGCAGAAACATATGAACTCTCAAATAAAAAGATATTTGCCTCTGGGTACCAGTATATCTATAATTCCAGAAAGTCAGGAGACTGAGGCAGGAGGATCACCAATTCAAAGACGAGCCTGGGCAGTTTAGTGAGACTGTCTTAAAATGAAAATTTAAAAGGACTGTGGATGGAGCTCAGTGGTAGAGTGCCCCTGGGAGTAGTCCCCAATAATAATTGCAAGTCTGCTTCCAAGGTGGTAATCTAGTTTCTGGTTGCTAGGGCTGTGTCTGATCCTGCATGAGTTTTAACTGCAGTTATTTCCAAGAATCTGGGCTCATGTAAGTTTCTTGTTTTTATGAGAAAATAATCTGAATTTTTCTGGAATCCTTGGAAGTTAATTCAATAGTTGAGATTTCTGTATCTTATCAATCCATCCCATGTGTATCCTTACAATAAAACTTCCTGCTGGAGATAGCCTGAAAGGGTCTTTGTTTGTTGCATATGAAAAGAGTAACACAAATCTTATTGCATATGATTTTGGGCTTGGAGCCAATGATAGCTCACATCAACAGGAAATGTGATTTATTGATCATAAAAGCTTTCATTTAAAATTGCTGGCCAGCAAAAATCCGGACTCTGGGAAATGTTATAGACCAGATGACCTCTTTCTTCAACAAATAAATTGCAAAATTGAGAAAGAATAAAAGAAACCTATTAAAAAGACATCAA